GGTAACTCTAGCATCTCAAAAAGTTGAGTACTGCAAAAGTTGTAGATCGTCAAAAAAATTAGTGGCTTGGGTACGAAGACTTTTGCCACCCACTGTACAGCGCTGGTTTGTCCGTGCCGAGCTGGGCCAACGTACCCCACGTGCCGCTTCCTGGCATCGGGCTGACCAGCCGTGGGAATGAAAACAGAACCTTTCCCTTGCGGTTGCCGCGCTTCTTTCGAATGTCGTGCCCGTGCAGCACGGCTACACTGTTTCCGGTCCCAACCCAAGTGGAGACGCGTGTGCACACGTACTTGGTGCGAGGTCGATGGCGTCCGACTCGTTGGACTTGAACCGCGCCTCGAGCTTCTTACGGATCGACGCGCCTTTTCACGACTCGGTTCTGGCCGACGACATGGCCTCGTTCACCGACGATTCTTCAAGAGTGCCACGTCCCAACATACCGCACCAACGGTCCCAACTGCGGAGCGACCGAGTCAGGAGCACCGACTTTGCTCCCACGTGGTGCTTCCACCTCCGAGGGAGGAGTACCAGCAGTTCGTGCAAGTTGCGTGCATCGATACCACATGGACTTGCCACCAACAGTTTGGTGAAATGAACACACCGTGGCCACGAGGCAGAAGAGAACGAGTGAATGTGCTGGCATCGCGAAATCACGCCATCGACGACTTTGCGGCGACGGTCGATGCTGGCGGGCTCGTTGCGAAGGTTGGCCCCTGTTGAGCAATGAGAGGGAGCCATGTCCGACAATAGAGGACCTCGCCGTCGTGGAACGTGCGGCGATGCACACGCCACATGCCCCCTCGTATGTCGTGTGGTAGGAGCCATGCATTGGTTGCCTTTCGTTGCAAATAGGCACCGTTTCTTCCGCACACACGGCGTCCAAGCAGGTTATTCGATGCTTACAACTTACTCGCCCCGTACACGGGGTACCGGATGTGCTGTGGGAGCGGGACCAGGGCGCCTGCTAGGTTCCACCCACCGTCCACGAGGGCATTCGTTCCGGTCGTGTAGGCGGCTGCGGGCGACAGGAGGAACACAACGGCAGCCGACACTTCTTCGACAGTACCCAGGCGACGGGCTGGTGTGTTCGCCGAGTACGATTCGCACACTTGTTGCGCGACGGGACCGTAGTTCTTGAGCCCCGAGCTTTCAATCGTGCCCTGCAGAACCATGACGTTGTCGGTTTGACCAAGGGGGCGTCGTACCGGTGTCACCGCGTTGACGCGGATGCCGCGGCTCGCCCATTCGTACGCGAGGGACTTGGTCAAGTTTTCGACGGCTGCGCGAGAGGCGCCGCTGTGGCTGGCGTACGGAAATCCCTTGTCCATCGCGACCAGGACGTTGACGATCGCGCCTCCATGGTCTTTCAAATACGCTTCAAATGCGTACTTTGTCACGAGGAATGTGCCAGTGCTAGGGAGAGTTTGTTGCGGAGAAAGTTGCTCGAAACGGCAACAAACATGGCGCAGGAGGGAACGTACCTGTTTAGGCGATGCACCGCGTTCCATCCATTCAGGGACAAGTTTTCAAATGGAGACACAAATTGGCCACCGGCTACGAGGCACGTTGGAGGGCACCGAGACGAATGGATTTCATCCAACGTGTACACACCATTGTTCACGACGTAGTCGACTCGGTGGAAGACGCTCATGACTCGTTCGAAGAGCCGTTTGACTTGACCTTCGTCGCGGACGTCGCAAGCAATGGGCACGACAACGTTCGACCGTGACGAGTGTTTAGTCGGCAACTGCGCCTTGATCTCGTCCGCTGCCGCCACCAACATCTCCAGTGTTCTACATTCACATTGGACGTAAGCGGTCTTGTCGTAGGTGGTCGCGAGAGACGCTGGCCGGGAAGAATGCTCGTACCGTGACGCTAGCACCACGGAGCACCCAAGGAGGCACAGTTCATGCGCAATGGTTTTTCCAATGCCCGTGCCGCCTCCTGTGACTACAGCCTGCACGACAGCGTTAGCCGTAGCGAGAACGAGCCTTCCCCATCTGCGCTCACCACTCTCCCGTCGAACACGCCATCGCGGAACACGGTCGTGGCGCCGCGGATCGTCATGATCAAATGGACTCACTGGCTGATATCTAGAAATTGTACATATTTTAGCCAATCACATACCAACACCGAGTTTGATCGAGTTGAGGGGGGATGGTTGTTGCCCGTGGCATGACAACCTTCCCCAAGGACCTGCTTCAGTCGCGCAAGGATGCTATGGCCCAAGATTTGACCCAGCAAACGTATTGTATACGTCGGCATGAGTTGCCTCCCTTGTTTGTAGCCACTGCTCCCGTGACGAGGGGGGTCGCCATCGATGTGAGTTGGTGTTGTAGCTGGATTACACACGTGCTCCAAGCGGATCGAGCTTGGTCCCCCGGTGACAAACACCTTGTGCTTGATGCGACCGCCGCCGGCGGTACGCGGTAGCTACACGCCCGCTTCGCGCCCCCCTGGTGACGTTGGAAACGTCAACCGGAGGGGGGAATATTTGAAATCTAGTCAAACGAATAGATGAATATGCATTTAATCGGTATTATCCGGAACGCAAACGATTGGTAAGTCGTGGACAAGTTGAGATCGACGGCAGGACGGCTCCAAGCGACATGCGCCTCATCACACACAACATGCTCATGTGCAACAAGAAGGGGGTGTCGAATGGCTTTCCGTTGATCCTCAAGCCCGAAGAGACTGAGATCGTTGCGTCCGACTTCAGCGCCGAGTTCATTGTGAAAATGGTCGACAAACTTGACTGGGCTGCGTTCGTGGCGGGTGCGGCGGCATTAAACGTGGACGTCCCGAGCACCCCGTTGTCCGCCGAGGACAAGGCAAACGAAGTTGTGCTCAAACAGATCCATCATGCGTTGCTCGACGTGCACGTGAAGAAAGGCGTGCTGGTGTGTCCCGAATCTGGACGTGAGTTTCCGATCGTCGACGGGATTCCCAACATGTTGCTGCGCGAAGATGAAGTGTAATCGACGTATTTTTCTTATTACTTTGCCACAACGGTGCGCTCTTATACCAAAAAGTCGGGGCTTCGAGGTCGCTTTGGAGAAGGCTTCGAGTCGTCGACCTTCACTTCGTCGTCGCGAACTTCCAAGTCTCTGCACATCACCACCGAGTCAGGGACGGGTCCATCGATCATCACGATGGATGTGATCGTCAAGCAGCTTATGCAATACGTACTCTTTCAGGGTAACTTGCGGCTTCGGGTACAGGTTCGTCGTTGCCACCTTCTCTACTGCCTTGATCCATTCGATGGCGAATTCAAACTCGCCTTCCTTGTCGTCGGCGAGAGCAATCCCAATCTGTTGATCTCCATTTTTAGAGCTGTTCCTACTATTGTTCACGTACCTTGGCCAGCTTTGACGGATTGAGCTTGCTCGGGTCATCAACCTGCGTGTACCCTCGCGACGTGAGGATAAAGTCGCTGAATTTGAGCTACAATGGCGAATCAGTCACTGAATGAAGGGTGAAAGTGTGGCCGACATACCTCGGCTTCGACCCATTCATTCGGCGGCGCCTTCAGGAATCCCATGAACAAGTCGTGGGGGTTCCAGCTATCTGCTTGCGCGTTGATACGATACCTGCAGACGACGGTGAATGAGACGCTGCAGAATCGAGATGTTCTATATGAACGTACACACGCCCGTCCGTCTTGATTCGCATGGCCAGGCCTTCGTACCCATGCAGCATAAGGTGGCGCGGCACGTTGCCACGAATTGCGCAATACCCGCTTCGAACGACGTGTTGCTCGGTGGGTTGGAGGCTCAGACTGAGTTTGCCCGAAAATATCGCTAGAATACAACATTTCTGCATGAGAGTGGACAACAAATTGCAAAAATGAACGAAGGCTTCACACCTGCACCAGATTCGGGGTCATCGTCGGCTCGCCGAGGCTCGTGCTTGAAAGTGCACGTGGACGCGCCTGGGCAGAAACCTCGTTTCACGGAGCGTAATTTTGAGGATACATATACCTCCGATCGCTTGGTCGCTCGAGACAAGCCAGTCCTTGACACTATCGGGGCTGTTAAACTCGAAAATTGGCATATCGGTCGACACTGCAATCTTCATCCCGAGCACTACGTTCCGTCCACAAAACAGTAAGCACATGACAGCCCAAGGATGATCTTGTACTTTGCTTGGTCGAAAGGATCGACGACTCTGCCGACGCCACGATCTTGCGGAACAGGCTGATGGGCTTCGGTGCCATCTTGGTTGCTTCCACCCCTTTCTGCGAGGACCGGATATCGAATTTCCGGATACCCGAGATTTGCCACCAAACACCGGGTTTTGAGTCAAATACCTGGTGTTTGATCCCCGATGGTTCGATCTCCGTGACAGCCAGCAATTGCTTTGAAGCATTGGAACCTCGACACATCATGCTCCGCAAGTTTGCCCAACGCCACTTCGTGCCGACGAGCCAGCGATACCAGCGTGCGTTCGCAGCTCCGCGCTTCTTCTCCACTGAGCCTTGTATGGATGACGACGACGACGATACGACGGTACGTGCATGGTCATCGTGGTCATCAAGTGATCGTGCCTTCGTGTTTCAGGAAAACGGCTTGTTGGACCTGCATTTCACCCAAGAAGACGATGGCGTGAAGCGTCCATTCCGATTTGTTGGCATCCGCGACGTCGAAATCGAAGACAAGCGCTACGAAGATCGCGATCAAACCGTGAAACCCAAGAACGCGCCGATTGTGCTCCGCAACAGCTACGGATACCCTAACTTTGTCTCGCTCTACGTGGACACGCTGCCCAAATGCGTCGAGTACATGAAGCAGAACAACATTCCCCACGACCCACCTCGAAAGAACGAAGAGGGGGTGGACGTTGTCACGATCCCGCCGACCCCTGAGAGCGCGCCGCACTTTGACTTGTGCGACAAGCCGGCCTTCGTCGAGCTCTTGCAGGCGTCGCCCGACCTCATCAAAGAGTTCGAAGACAACGAACGTGAAAACTCGAAAACCTCGTTTGACGACTAAACAAATTTTGCGCGCGAACATTGCATAGATTAACCAAGTGAAAAGGACGCGACCGTTTCAAACTCGTCATTGTCAAATTTGCAGCTCCCTACACACGCGGCGGCGGTCGATGTCCAACGAGTGGCTCCCCGTACAGCGGCGCGAGCTTCTACATTGGTGACGGTGTCATGCACGACAACATGACACGCAATCGACGCACCTCCCACTGCTCGTACGTGATACTGATGATCGACTGCGTCGGCTTGGGTACTTCCCCGGTGATTCCAGACTTGTTGACTGGATTTGACATTGGACGTGAACCACGTTCGTGATGCAAAACACGGGCGTACCAATTCGAGGAAGCCCGTGGGAGTCGATGTCGATCTTGGCCTGGCCATCGCGAATGAGAAACGACATGTCAAACATGTTCTCTATCGTCTACAATACGATGAGAAGATTTGGCGAAAGGTGGTTGACGCAACCTGGGCAAAGCTCTTCGGATTCAGACACAAATCGAAAAGGCCGCAACTTCCTTGGTCTTGGACCAGAGTAAGGAGGTACTTCAACCGACCTGCTTGAACATCCTCTTGAACTAGACTGTCCTTTGCCACTTGCGTGGGTTGGCATTCTTCAACGTCTACACTATCAACTCGACGGCGGCGGGGTGCACGCCGTTCTTTGGCGACTAGTTGGGTGTCCTGAACCACCAAACCGTTAGAACAGAATGCCATTTCGAAATATGTCGACATCGTTTGGAAGCATACCATCGACCCATACATAAAGTTCACGGCGATCGTATTCTGAAAGCACGGTCCCACAGCTGAGCCCATCCGCAACCAGTCAAAGACGGATTCTGTGTCTTCGCTGGCGCACTTGGCCTTGCACGAGTTGATGAATTGACCTGTGTCGAACTTGGTCAAGTCGCTGGCGCTCATGAGTCCAGCTTGCTTCACAACAAGGTTGCTAAATTCGTCTAGGTTGCATGCGTCCAAGTTTGCCTCGCGCGGGTACACCACTTTGGCGTAGATGGAGTCGAGCTCTTGTGCTTTCGATTGAAAGATCGAGTTGTTCAGCTGAGACGCTTCCGCGCTCTTTTCCTTCAGCTCCTGCAGAATTTCACGCTCGCGGCACCGGACGACGCGTCGCTCTTCCAATGTAATTTTGCTGTCGGCCAGCAGCGGCCCGAACGAGCTACCATGTTCATGACGCCGTTTTCCCATGTTGCCCGTGCCGATTCAAGGCTTGTTTTGGAGGGAAATACCGGATTCGCAATCGATGATTGGTTATTTTCTCCCAATCAAACGGGTGAATTGCACAAATTTTGTCCAATCCTAAACCTCTACTTGCATCCGAACTCCAGTCGCAAGCATCAATGGCGTTCAAGTTCGGGAGCCCGGCGCGGCGTCGTGACGAACCTGTAGGCGGCGCGAATGAGTTCCATCGGCTCTTCCAGGCTTATGAAGCAGATTTCAGTGACCCAGTTGAGGAAGAATCCAAGATCATAGGGGAACTGGACACCCTGGACAACCTCCTTGTTTCACTTAAGCTGGAGGGTTCCATCGCTCCTCGCACAGTGCAGTCGATGGTGTCTTTCTTCATGAAGAAACGGTTCGGATTCCCACGGAAGAGCTTGAAGGACGACCGTCGCGTCCTCCACCATACCACGTTGCTCTTGATGGCTGCTTTGACGAAGGAATGCCAGGTTGATTCGGAAGACGACGCCGATGCGCTTGCGGCCTTGTACGAGTTCATGCTCGATCCATTCGCGGTCGACGGGTCAAATCGATGGACGCCGGCTGAACTTGGACCCCACGGCAGTGTCCTCTTTGCGTTTGCCCTGTTCGTACGGCACGTGGAACGCACGAACGATGCGATACACACTGCAACTGTGTCCCGCCTTCGCAGTCGCCAAGCGGACAACGCTGGCGAGTTTGAAATGGACGATACCCTGAGCGACATCGTGCTGGAAAAGGGTCGATCCCTCGGTGGCCTGTCGCTGTTTTCAACTATCTTCACGAACTCGACGACCGTGGAGTCCCCAGTGTTCGACATCAACGACGCCGCGTGGCGCCGGCTCGACGGTGATACCTTTCCCACCTACTTTCCTGACAGACGCCGCATGTGGGGTCTCCAGGACGCCGGATATGCGTTCTTTAGCCGCTTTGTCGACGACTTCGGCCTGCTTGATGTCACCAAATCCACCGCAGAACTTCTCGCTGTCGTCGACCTCTTTGCAGCGCTGGTTGCGCACCACCCAGCGCTCCGCGCGTCGGTTGTCCAAGAGGTATCTACATCTGTACGCAAATATCTCGTAACGATCCGAGGTAGGTGCTTCGACTGACTGAGCCGCTCGGCTTGCTCTTTCCACACCAATTGTCGCCGCTGTTACGACTTTTGACGGCATTTTGTGCGCCCGACACGGTGGCCACCCTGACAGATCAGATCGGTCTAGACCACCCGTTGGCGACGTACACCCATGTCGTCGGCGCTGACTCGTTGGAAGCGTGCAGCCAAATCGACGTCGCCTCCACAAACGGTGTGACGTGCAAGGAAGCGTTGCATCTCCCCGACGTTGTCATCTCCATTGGAACCACTGGGCAGAGCGTGACGATGGAAGGGCGTACGTTGGTGTGCTGGCACTTGGGAAGCTCGACCACAAGGCTTTCGCTGTGGGACGTCGTGTTCACGCGGCTCAGGCAGCCTGCTGAATTGGCTGATGCAACCGACCTGATTGCGGCGTTGAATTGGCTCGCGGCGTATGGCCGCGCGGCACCTCGTCGCTTTGATGCAATCTGGCGGCGCGCGCTGGGGTCCAGCCCAGACGAAGCCAACGACGCCATTCACTCGCTGCTGTCGCGCCACTTCACGTCTGGTTCGTTGGCCGTTCAAGCGGCGGCGCTGGGGGTGGTGACTGTCCTTGATGTGGCGGTGACAGCTTTGCTTGTCCACGGCGTCGCTGGCGAAGCGATGCATGCTCTCGTGGTGGCACAGGATGCCGTTGGCGTTTTGGCATGCCTGCAATGCTTGATCCTTCACATGTCATCGTCGCCTGAAGTCGTCGTGTCGCTGCTCCTGCAACTCCTGGAACAACCCGCCACCGACAACGTTGCCCGCATCGTGACATTCCGCCTGTTGGCTCAGAGCCTCGCCCTACCGCAAGTGCACAAAAAACTCGCCCCGACGATGCTCTTTCACGGCCGCGCATTGCTCTTTGACGCAGCCACGACATTGCTGCTGGCAGACGCTCCAGCACCGGCAACACCTCCATCCAAGCCGGAAGCTGCATTCAACTTTGATCGACCTACTCCTGTTGAAACCCCCGTCCTTCCCTACGCATTTGCCGACGTGACATCGTCGGACGTCGCAGTCGTCGAAGCCGTCCTGTCTGCCGTTCGCTTGCTTCTGGACACTTCCACCGTGGAATCTCAAGCGATCGAAGCGTTCGTTGCACATTCTAACGGTCCACTCAACTGGCCCGTGGCGTGCGCGGCGTATTTGACCTGTTCGGCGTCCCCGGTGATCCCCCTCGTCGCGGCGCGCCTTCTCACGACGGTGTCGCTGCACCTCACGGACTCGACGCTCATGGCTTACTTTCGCACGCAGGACGACATGACGGCGTTCTTGGACTCACTCCTGACGATAGTCCAGACGAGCGATGCTCCCCGATTGCAAGTTGCTGTTTGGACTTTGTGGACACACTGTCTTGACGTGCAGCCGAGTGTGCTGTCGCTTTTGTTTGAACACGGCACGGCCGCCGCGACGCTCGTCGATTCGATTCGTGGCACGTATGAAAATGGCCTGTACGGCGTGCTCGCGTCGGCACTCGGGTTTATCCTGGCCATTTGGGAAGGGTTGAGCCATTCGAATGCGTGCCATCACATGGCTGCGTTGTTTCGTGACCAGCCGCTCTTTTGGGCGACTCTGACGCAGCCCTTGGGGGTGTCCCCACCGCACGCGCATGCAGCGTTTGCCCAAGGCGCGATCTTCAAAATCCTCGCGATCGAGTACCACATTGAAAGGCAGCGGAAAATCCCCGGGGCATCCAACCTTGCCGACATCGTCGGATCGTTTCGAGACCTTTACGACCAGTGGTTCCACGATTACACGAGCGAGGACGCTGCAGCCATGTACCTCCCGACCGCACACACCAACACCGATCGGGCTCTTCCTCTGTACGTCCAAGCCGCCGACGTCCCCGCATCGCTGTATGTGCTGGCACAATGGACTATCTTCATGGAAATCGTCTTCTTGCACCCTTCAACAAGTCGACAAGGTGCCTCGGCATCCGCTGTTATCCAGTCAAGCCCTTCTAACTCGTCCAGGAGCCGCATCACGGTAACGCCAACGCTCGTGTGCCATGTTGGGCAGTTTGTACCCGCTCATGGTGTCTCTAGTGTGACTCGCCCATGCTTCCAGCCCGCACGGGAGCGCCTTCCCGGCCATCCAACTTTTCAGGCGATCGCACGTCCCTCGAATGGAGCTTGAAGTTGACGGCCCGCATGGCTGCGCTCGCAACGTCGGCCCAGGTTGATCCCCAAGCGATCCGTCTCCTCAGCCGTCTGAGTCTGTGCATGATTCACCATCAAGTGTGCGAAGTCAAGCACAAAACCAACGACCCGCGGTGGTCGACAACGCAGTTGCGTCCGTCGCAGCAGCTGGACCCGACCACGTCGCTTCATTTGGTACGCATCGTCCTACGTTGCAATGGAGCGTTCGTTTCGCATCTGGATCGGCGTTGCTTTGTAGATCACGGTCGTGCACTCGATTGTCCATCACGACGCGTCAAATGCGGCGCTGTGGACAGCATCGTTGCTCCTACTCCGACAACTGGCACCGCCGCTGCCCCCGTTGTTGCTCAGTCGCGTGGTGACCCACTGCATCACGGCCTTGGCCTCTGCGACCACCGACGACCCGTTGTTCTCTACAGTCGGTCAAGTCCTTCAAACCGTGCTGCAGCACCACATCCCGGCAGACTCGACGACTGCGGCGTTTCAACTGCTTGCGATCGTCGGCCAAGGGCCTTTG